CACATTACAGCCTGTTTATAGTGGCCAGGCTCAATCCTTTGAGAAAACGGGTACATACATTTACCGTAAAAAATTCCAGATTTTTGTCATACTCATGTGACTTACTGACATTTAGAAGCTAAGCCTTTTAGGGGTCCTAGGGACACAGGAAATTTCTGTATAACTGAAGTAAAGAATCGTGTTATATTATATTTTATGTTTTGGTTTGCATACTTGCTACGAAAACACGCAATATAACGCGTTACGATTTCTGAAATTTCTAAACAGAGTTGTATTCTTTCGTATGAGCACGATTCAGTTCCTTATCTCCGTTTGTATGTATATCTGAATATAAATATTGATAACATCTTAGACACTGCTGTTCTGGCTAACTCAAGAGCATAACATTCTTTAACTAACTAACTAGATGGCTTACCGAACCCGAAGGTTCATCACCGAATTAACCAAAGCCTTCCACCGGATCCTGACCTGGGCCAACTAAATCCAGTCTCCTTCAACTCCTATCTCCCATAGATCTCGCTTGATATTATCCTCCCATCTACGTCTACGTCTCCCCAGCAGTCTCTTCCCCTCAGGCTTCCCAACCAATACCCGGTGCACGCCTCTTGTCCCATCCATGCGCGCTATATGCCCAGCCCATCTCATTCTTCTCGACTTAATCGCCCTGACAATACTGGGGGAGGAGTACAGATTTTTAAGCTCGTCATTATGCAGTTTTCTCCACGCCCCATCGTCTTCTCTCCTAGGCCCCAATATCCTCCTCAACACCCGATTCTCAAACACCTGCAGTCTGTGTTCCTCCCTCAGAGTGAGAGACCGTGTTTCGCACCCATGCAAAACAACAGGCAAGATTACTTTAATTTCCAGGTTCTTAGAAATCAGACGGGAAGACAAAATATTTTGAAATGAAAAGTAGCAAGCATTTCCGGAATTTTAACATTGTTTATAATATTTTTATTGTAATTATACGTTTCAGTTTAGACCTGTTTGATATCATAGATGAATTTTTATAAATCATTTTAAATAATTGTGATTTCTCTGCGAATAAAAGGATAAGCCATTTGCTAGGTTTCGTACGACCGGAAATCAATTTCTGGTACGGGCGTTCCATACTGAACAGTAGTCGTTAACCATCCATTCTCTTCAAAGGACCCTGGTAACTTCCTCGTTAATAGAATATTCTTGCCGGAGCATGAAGACGATAATTTAACTTCAGCCGTCTTCAAGATCGCAGAGCAGTTCTGGATTTTAAATCCAAATCTTGTCGAAAGCTTGGTAATGTTATGCACGTACATGCAGGCCTATAAATATAAAAGAATACTAATGAATTCCTATAGGAGTCGTAAATATTTCGTAAACTATTATGTTTATTCTTAGACACGTATTAAAATATATTTGCATGTGTGCAAACTGGGGAACATAAATTTGTGTTCCTTAGGGATTATTTGTTCTTATGAGAGATGGAGTAACAAGAGGAGAGGACATTTTCAAAATGTAAAGCTTTATTATTTTTGATATTAGCCCATTAATCTTATCGTAGAAGTTGCTTAGTGTCCGCAGTGACCGCGCGGTCTGAGGCGTGGGCCTTGTATGGCTTGGTCGCTGGGACCGTGGGTTCGAATCCCACTCAAGCCATGGATGTTTGTCCGCGTTTTTCTGTGTTGTGCTGTCCTGTGTACAGGTCCAAGGAGTCCTACTGACGGGCCTATCCCTCGTCCAAGGAGTCCTACCGAATGTCTATAGATCGAGCCAACGAAAAATTGGGACCCGCAGTGCTCAGGCACTTGAAGAACGGGTCGTTCCCTGTATCCCAGTATCCAGAAGTTGATTAAGGATGTTGGCATGGAAGTTATATATTTCAGGGTTAGAAGGAATTAAAAATTAATGCAGAATTTTTAACAGCCACTTTTGAAACTTAGCGTAGATGGGAGAAGAATAATATGTATTGGGTCTTCGATATGTAGGGAATGAATTTTCAGAATTGATTCACATGACTAAGTATAGGTTGCAATGGCGAACCTTCTAGAGATTATCTTGACTAAGTATATTCAGTATCAAAAGATAACTGAAAACTAAAATGTTACATGTATTAATTTAGGATTTAAGTCAAAGCGACATTTATGTTGTCTTACCAGGTTTATAATTTAGTAATCCATTCGCATAATGTGTCGGCTATGGGATGGAATACGTTTATCGTTATAACTATTAACACATTGAGGTGTTTTAAACGTTACAGAATGAAAGTCCGAAATAATTTGACAGAATATGTTATGTAACTATTAGGAATTTTCGTGATAAACTTGAGAGATTTGAACCTTTGTTAATATATTATAATTTTTTGTTTATCTTAGTATGCGAATTAGTTAATGCGATTTTTAAATAAAATTTGCAAGTCATATTTAAACAACATCCAGTACAGCTCATTAATCGAAAGGCGAGACCGACGGTGATCTCATAAAGTCCTTGTAATAGTTGCGCAGATTGGTCTGCATGAGAAGAAACGACCTTCGTGTGCATTATTCGGTGGTCAGCCCATGAGACCATGATGGAATGCATCCAGTATGCTACATACTGTTGCGTGTTTTCCCGCGGCTGGCCATGTGTTGCAACCGCAGTGTAATTATTAGCCCACGTAACAGAACCTCCGCTCTTCACACCTTTGGTATCAGTGGCATAATTCCACTTCACTAATATCAGAGATTGTAATCTAAGCCCCTTTTGTTATCAGAAACACTATATTTGAAAATTTGCTATTATCCGTCGATTCTTTGGAGTATCACTGTCACTAATTGCTTGTACGTACAAATTGTCTTTAAAGGTGTATTACTTCTTATGATTGATATTCAACAGAATAAAATCTATGCAACTGTTGTTACTAAAAGTTACTTTGTAATTCCATTCATAACAATTTACAAAATTTAAATGTATTGCTTAAATTAGCCTATTTTATAAGTTTTTTGTGTGTTGTTTAGGATATAGCTAAGATAACAGCGTTTGTTAATCATTCACTAAGTTACATGCATTATAATATTTGCTTTGGAAAGAATGAGTATCAGATATGCTGTAGTATATTAATATATAGCTTGTGATTTTGCTTCGGATAAACCTGTAGACCTGTAAATTTCATCGGTTCGTAATTAAATTTTATAAGATATAAATGGGAAAATAGTAGCAGTAAAAAATTGTATGCTGTGAGTTCTGTGTTGTATTTACTAGCTTGGGCTACTTTGTATTCCAACGGTACATGAAATTGCTATGACCTTAAAGCAAGCAATTTATTGACGGATACTATAAGAAAGGGAGGGATGGGTTTCTAGCCGTAAGAATAAACTCTGTGTAGCTGTTAGAAATAATTCTATGAGACTGTGTTTTGAAAAAAAAACATAATGTTAGACGGATACAGTCTTCTGTGTAGAGAACTCAACTTTACAGATGAATGAATAATTAAATAAATACGTTTTAGCTTTTGTGATGTAAAAGAATGATCACATGCAGTTAAATTTTGAAATGTTGGGGAGAAAGCTGTCTAGATCTTTTTCACAGTTCACGATTGACAAAAACTACAAATAATCTCAGATACTGTAATCGGCGTCCTGGTCTGGTGTCGAATTGGGAATTTCTGTAAACCCAGTAAGAAGAGTTAGATTTTGAAAGTACTTAATTAATTTACATTTGTAGGTTATATGACAAAGTTGTATCAACTGTAGGAAATTTGTAGCATTAATGAGATTTTGGAGAAGAAATTAATTTTGCGTGAACATACCGAGAAATACCATCTTGTCACATTTGATAGCGATGAACAACTGATAAAGTTATTATTCAATATTATAATGAACATAAATTTTTGGAATATCTGTTACATATTTATCGTGACCAGTTACTTCGACGTGAAAATTATTTCCAAATATTCTAAGAATCATTACATCCACACAGTATTTTAGAAATAATTTCGCAGCGCACCGAGTGTCAATGTTCACAAAGAATGTTTTAACATAGCAGGAAGTGGAGTGTCATAAGCGTTTACATGTGTGGTCAACTTTACTGTGATATCCGTTTTGGAGCATAGGTACTTTTCCCCCCACCCCACTCTTTACGGAAAGCATTTGTTTGTGTTTCAGAGGGTGAAACACAGCTGAGGTTTCACGGCGACATAGTTTCACCATGATATATCATGAGCACCACCTGGTAACACGATCGTGAATTAGTCAACCATGTCAGTGTGGTTATAGGAATTAATTAGAAGCAAGCCTACGATACATGTGCAGACATTTAATAATGTGTTATTTGCCATAGCTTCCTCGTTATGCAAACATGCCTTGTGTAACGAAAGCTCTCACAATCGTTAATTATATGTTATCGAGACGAAACAAGTTTAAACTCAAGGAAAGCACTTGTTGAAATCATTGTAATTCAGATATATCGTATGATTGCAGCATTTCACGTACATTTTTACGGTACAATACAAAACTATTTATAATTTAACTCTCATAATTACACACAAAATTAAGGATAATATGTTTTCATAATTACTGACATCATGGAGCACAGTACGTTTTTGAGAAGCTGATACTCGCTCAGTTAGTAAAATAAATTTATCTGCGTTTATGTGGCATATATGTCCATTAAAAGTCACCGCCATTGGATACTACTCTGAACCAGATGAATTCAGTCCTTTAGATCCAGTTTAATGTTGTTTTGTCATCCAGGAGTGGACTCTCTTGTGTCCGCTGAGCGTCCCGCCAATTTCAATCTCGTTTGTTAGGCTGCTCCTAACAATTCTTAGTGAAGACATATAAAGCTCCACATTTCTCATTTCCTAACTCTTGCATCCTGTCTCTTATAAATCATCCATTTTGTTGATACACCATTCTGGCATCATACGCTCGAAATAATTTTTCTAAATAGTTTTAGGGAGGAATTTCTTTATTTACTAAATTCAATTTATATCGTACGAAGCTTACGACCGAGGTATATTTAAGTTTCCCCACTAATTTTTTTAGGCTGACTGTAAGCCAGTGGATGTCGGTTCCTGTTTCCATGGAGTTGACCACGTCCATATAGAGTCGATAAGTACACTCGCAACTTTACCTCCGCCCATCCGTAACGTGGTTTTTGTGCACAGGGCAACTTCACTCTTTACATTTAAATTCAGGCTATTGTTTTCTAGTTCCTCAGTTTAACGATAAATCCTGGCAAATCTTTATTGTTCGTGAGCATGAGTTCTTATGTACATGCAATACGATGTGTACAATAGAAGCTTAGTTGTAAGCTACTTAAATGCTTATGAGAACATTTTTTTGGGAAAGCAAGAGATAATGAAGAAGTTTCAAAACAAAAGCTTAGAGAATTTCAGCTCCCAAGGGGAATGAAGAGAATTATGAGTCGAGATGCGTAATAATAATTCGATTAAATCAATCAGATATATGTTTGGAATGAGACCTTACTGAAATGAGAAGTGATTACAATTATTTTGTTTCGTGTACATCGTGGACATTTGTTTTATTTACTTGTTTTTTTTTTGTATATTTATCCATTCATTTACACAGGAACTTCGAAACGAGTACCTTCCAAATAGAAATTTAGACTTTCGACTCAAAAGCCTTACATTTACATTTATCTGGTCGATAAGTTGACTGGAAGTTAATATTAAGACAGAATCTGTTCAGGCGGGTAAAGTATTAGTGGTATCAACTGGATTTTAAATGGTGCAGTAGCCACAATGAACACTCGATTCCGCTGCACTGTAATTATTGTTTACTGCTCGGATCAAATACTTTAATCACAGTATTAAATAAGTTGTCCGGGTTGTATTTTTTTGAAACTTGAAAGCAATATAATTTTCCTGACCATTTGGTCGCTGTCCGAAGAGCGGCAAGCCCAGTGGTAGGAGTGCTACCTCAGCCTCTGGACAGGCTTTGTTCAGGTGGTATTTCCCCCAACCCGGATGAAATGGTTATAACGCCATGACTTGGTTGTCAGAGCCTCCTTTGTGGTAACAGGGTGCACCGCGAGAAGGTGAGGTTGACAGTAAGGTAGGAGAGGCTATAGGAGAATCCCAAACCAACTTTTGAACTACAGACCGAATGGAAACAGAAGTCTGGGAAGACCATTACAACATGGAACGAAACCGTAACAGGCCGCTTGGCCTAATACTTGATGAGTATGATGATGATGATGATTATTATTATTAAATAAGTTTATGTAATAAAACATTTCCTGTATGCATTTTCAGTTAACCGATAACCGATTACCCAATTGATGTTTTGTTCCATGGTTGCTAACATAAGAGGTCTGTAGTTAATTACTTATTTTTATCTGACGTCGATAATATTGTAGAGGCTTAACTTGGAAATATTTCAATTTATAATAGCAGGCAACTCAGAAATATTTTATACCATATTAGCTGAACGTTGCTGCCAATACTGATGTAAATTTGCGGTCATGGCTACAGAACTAGAATATTAATTTTTTACGTTTTAAAAACGTTCTAACATATTTATTTTGTAATAAACGTAAACCACATCTGTTGTTCAATAAAAAAATGAAACCCGTCCTCTGATTTTAGAGAAGAACATGATTTAAGAGAGTCAGAGAACGAAATGCTGTGGAGACTGTTGGACTTACGAGGAAATAAGTTATAAAAGGATGCAGAAAGTTATGTAAGTTAATGAAGAATTTCGTAATTTGTTCTCATCTCGAAATTATTACTGATAAAATCAATAAGGATGAAATTAATGAGATATAGAGCACATATTGGAATATGAGTTACTAATATATGTCGTTATTGATTAATTACGCGATGAAGACGTATGACGAACCCAGGCACTACTACGTACTTGCTGCTTCTCTCTCTCTCCCCCCAGAATGAGCCCCAGTTACTCATTAAGTTAGAGGCTGAATGATACCCAGGGCGGTCAGGACCTAATAGAGAAATCTGTGGAATATTTACATATGAAAGCCGCAAAGGGATGCTCTATTAAACAAGATAATTAATTAATCTAAAGTTTCAATAAAAGCGAAGAATTCTTAACCATGATGGCATAAAAAGACTATTTAAGTCGGTTCTAGACAAAGTAACAGTGCTTTGACAGTCTGGCGACGATCATAAAAGTTTAAATACTTTATAACAGTGTACTCTGAGTCGGTTAGCTCAGTCATTATAGTGATTGACTACGGGCTAGACGATTAGGGTTCGATCTCCGAATTGTTTCATAGTATTTAGGCGTTGCATTCTGCGCGTCGGTCTGTGTATATTGGTGTGTTTTATGACATCAGAGCTTAGAAGGAATCAAATTAATATCGAGCTACAGATAATTCCGTTTTCCTAACACTGCAAATAACAATAAGTCGCAAAATCTTCGAATCTGGTTGGTGGTTTCTACAGAAGCAAAAGTTTTATCGTATAAACGAATCAGATCGAACAATGATTAGAGTCATTAAATTTCCTGGGTCTTTATACATTATTTTATCATTCGCTTGTTCCGCTGTGCGAATTATGAAGTTCAGATCCTCAGAGGAAGCAAACCGAAGCCCCTCTCACGTCCTTAGGGAGTCCTAAATTCCTTACTCAATCTGCGTAAGGTAAATGCCTACGTATAATCATATTTCGTCTCTCTTGGGGACTATTTTCCTTCAAGTTTTATAATAGGCTAAGTAACACCACGGAAGCTACGGAATCTTGTTCCCCATTCTCTTTATTACACGATGCATCGCCCGACTTGCTTTACCTACATCCATTCCGTTTTAGCGCTAGAATTTCACCGGTGCTTGAGAACTGAGTCCGTACAAGTAATTTTCTCTCCTGTTACGCTTTATGAGCTAGTACGATGACAATCATTGCTTTGTCGTCAGCATCGCGAGATGCGGACATTTCTTCGGTTGATGTGCTTTTAAGTTTCCTACAGTTTTGTCTGTGTAAAAAAAAAAATATAAGAAAACGAGGTGGTTTAGCCTTTCGGTCTTCGTCATTTTGTAACATATCCACTTTATAAATAAGCAGTCAGTTCAAATGTTAATGTTATTGGATTGAAGTTGCTACATTATATTAAATTGTTTATATCAGTTGAGATAATCTGCTTGTACAACTAGTCCCTTATATCACAGTTCTTTAGAAGATAGTCCCGTCAGCTAGTCAAGCTGAAAAAAGGCGAAGGTTCTTGGTTACTATTCTCAGTCACTTTGCACAAACATTTTTATAGTTACTTTTGTTGAAATGTAAAGACCAGATTACGTACGAGTTATAGGCGCGCTGGTGAAGACCAAGGTGACAAACACTGCGCGCGCACCTCCATGCTTTTTCTTCCCCTTCTACCCGGCCGTTCCGTGCACCGACCAGGCCGTGCCGAGTGCAACTATCCAGAGCACTAGGGAGCTCAGCTAGCAGATAGTCTGGTCCGTGCTGTATATGTTTAAGCCCAGTATGGCCATTGTTAGGTTCCAAAGTGATGAGTGAGTGACTGAGAATAATCATGAAGAATGATCGTAACACATGGGTGTTGCGCAACAGCATTTGTATCCATCTAATGGATCATGCTCTGAGCCAGATTAATCCAATCCTGTCACGACCAATTTCTCCAAGAAACGTTTTAATAGTGTACACCAATCTACTTCTGTGATCATTCCTTTATATTTACTCTCACAAGTACCCTGTAATTTTGAAAGTAACAGGGCTACGCTCAGGCTTTCGAAAGAAAAAATGTGCAATAATTGTTGCTCCTTCTGTTCCGGAGAATTTTCTTGTCGGTGGACGGCAGGTAGTTTGGTGTTGCTAGTGGCCCGTCCGAGTACGAGCACTTGACCTCGAATGCGAGCCCGAAACACAGCAACGGATGGGCCACCAGCAACACCATACTACCGGCCGTCCACCTCTAGTTTCCTATCAGCGACCGCGCAACAAAGAATCGGATACGTTACCCAGCAGCTCTGAGGATGAGAGCTGAGATTGTTCTCGAAACGTTGGATGAAGATATGGTTCATTCAGCCACCTGACGCGTCTTGTAACCCGAGAGTCTTTCATCAGCTTCAGTCGCCGCGAAAGCTTCACTTCACACATTAGTGTAGTACTTCATTACATTGCGTTCTTCAGTAGCTACTGTAATGAGTCTCAGGGACAGAGTTTGATCCTAGTGCATGAACAAATATTCTACAAAACTTTGCGAAAAGAAATAATAATCTCAAAGGCTTCGAATGAGAGGCTAAAATAAAAATTGAATTACAGGCTATGAAAAGTTAGACGAATATACATAGTATGCTAAAATAAAAATTTAATTAATAAGCTTCGTATGGGAACCGCTTCGTGTCCGAGACAGGGAAAAAATAAGTCATTTTAGACGAGGAGTAGACTGTCTTAAACCAGTTTCGAAAGTCGAACAGCCGATGGATATTTATGAGATCAGCCATATTTCCCACACTTCAACCCTGACCCCCCACGTTCGACGACAGCTACGCCGAGACTCCCATCAGTGGCGCCTGTCGTCTACATGTTTCTTGTTACCATTCGGGGATGGCGTCTATCTGTAACAAGTCTTCAGCATTCTTCTACAACGAAAGGAGAGTGAATGAAATAGTTTCCTCGTAGAAACAACGAAAAGAGTTTGAAATTAAAACTGCTGCATTGTTTCTACTGCAGTTGGAAACTTACACAAAACTGGGGAAAACAAAAATAAAAATGTGAGCGGGTCCTTAAAAATGTAATGTAAAATGCGTGTCATAACTCAGAATAACTATGGATTTATGTAAAGCGTTTGAACCCGAAGAGAGAGAGAGAGAGAAGATGGGTGGGGGGAGTAGCATTAGACACTACTGTTATAAATGGGGGAGGGGTATAAAGTTGATTTGAGGTTACGAAGGTTCCCAGACAGTGCCCGCTCGTCCTTCTGGTATGGATAGGTTTAGTAAGGTCAAGGGATTTAGAAGGAGACAGGATGGGTTAAGAAATGGAGTAGGGGGGGAGTTGATCAGGGTCTTTGCGTTAATTTTGAATTTTGATATTGCCTTTGAATTTTGATATTGGCCTTGTAAGAGGGGCGCTAGGGAAAATATTTATTTTGATGTGGGAGGGGGCTATTATGGAGCGGAATTTTGATGTTAGCACTGGGAGGGCTGCAGAGCAAAGTGGAATTTGAGTACCAAGGAAAACCATGGAGTACCTTGGTCGAGTTGGCCGGTCGCAGGACCTTCCGGATGCGTTCTGACTTCTAGCCAGCAGTCAGGCATTTAAAATCGCGAGCCCTATCCGCGCTCCTCCTTTATTAAAAATTGATACATTTTTAATTTTTTTTAACATAGATATGTTTTGGATAGGAAGCGACCAACTTGGTTCATTGCTTATCCAATTACAAAAAAGTTTACAGTCATTCCAGAAATCACTTTTCCATTTTCTTGCCGCGGTCGTCTTGAGTCTTTTGGCTCACGGTCAGTCCAGC